CCCCAAAACCCCAAAACCCCAAAACCCCTTGGGGAATATGGCTGGTTGAGAATGGAGTTAGGGGAGAAGGTTAATGTGGGGTTTTAGGGTGGAGATAATCCACTCCAGCATCTCGAAGATTCTCGCCCAGTATCCACTATTATTAACAAAGCATCATCATTATGACCCAATTTTCTCTATCGTCTAGGTCTCCAAAATAGGAGCAGTTGGTAATTCTGGAATAATGTTAAGAAATTATTCCATACATTATGCTAAATTTAGTGACACCCATTTGGCTGCTTTAGGAATATGAAACTTATCTCATTCCTTTGTTAAGGGCAATATCATTGTTGATATCAAGACCTTCATTTATGTCTTCAGTGACGAGTTCCTCTCCCATTTCTGCTACCTCAGGGTCACCCATAATGTCCACATTGGCTTCTGCAAGATATGCAATGTAGTCAATGTTGAAGTCGTCCATGCAGCCTAGGTCCATATCATCGCAAAATCCGTCATGGAATCAATCATCGAAGAGCGGATTATTGATGTATGTATGGTCGCATGGGTTGGCAATGATCAGCAATCCTCCTCCGACCATGTAGTCAGGATCGTAGTAATCATTGTGGTGGATGTCGTTATGGTGGTGATAATCCTTATTACTAAGAAAAATGATTAATAAGCAAGTACATTGGGCATCTCTGCGATATTTTTTTCTATCAATATTTCAGTCCTAGCTTTGAAATCTCAATTTTTGTTCTTTTAAAAATCAATTTTTCTTATTATTTGGTATTCTTTTATATTTTAGAAAATAATTTGAGCTTTAGGAGTTGTTGAAATTTGTAGAACAGATCTTACCAAGAAATTTTGACTTGGAATCTTCATTAAATATAAGATAGCAAGGTGAAGCAGATTGTTATTTTAATTCAAAGCTCTCCATCTCAATTTTTTGATGGGCTGTTTCCCATAAATCCTGAGGGGCTTCAACTAAAAATATATTCTTGTAAAAAATCGAGAATGTCTTGGTAGATATTCTCAAATTTCTTTCATTCAGCACTCTCTCCAGATGAAGGAGAATACTTGAATTCTCTTTCGACCAGTGTTTCCATGATGGCCCTGTAGTGTTGTGTATAAGTCATGTGCAAATGCCAAACTTGGCCAACTTGCTCTCTAACACTAAACATATTACTAATAAGTCACAAAACCATTAAATATTCCCTCTACTCCAAGGGGTTTTGGGGTTTTGGGGTTTTGGGG